TAATCAGTGAGGGGATTCTGCAGACTGTTGAGGGTTCAGCCTCCTGATGAGTCGGTGAAACTCCGACGAAACAGTTTGTCACAGCCCCTCGTTTGTTGTCCTCTTCTCTCTCTCTGCCTACAGTTTACCGGGCAGTTCTGTTTGTGACGATATATATATATATATATATATTGTCACATGATATCAGAGCGCCAAAGCGAAAAACAGAAAGAAAACAAGGAAAGCAAGAAAAACTTGAATCATTTTTAATCTTCTTCTTACAACTCCCCCTGTTCAGAACGTCTTGCATACATCTTATAAATATATATACACATTGACAAATATACACGTGGACTCCAGGGAATTTATAGGTATCAATGCGTATAGCTATTAAACAGCGATTGAATAACGAGAAACGAAACAATCTACCACAACCCGCGGCAGGTAGAGAGGGGGAGAAGAGGACGACAAACGAGGGAGGGGCTGTGACAAACTGTTTCGTCGGAGTTTCACCTACTGAGTCATCAGGAGGCTGAACCCTATATACATATACATCCACCTCAGGGTATCAGATGTCGCCCAGTCGATGGTAGCAGTTGATGAAACTCCGTGGGCAGTGGTTGGTGCTTAACCACAACCGACCGGGGTTAAGGTGGATTATCACTTGGTGGTTAGGGGATACAGTGTAATCAGTAAGTTAGGGGATTCTGCAGACTCGGGGGTACAGAGTAATCAGTCAGTTAGGGGATTCTGCAGACTGTAGAAGGTTCAGCCTCTACCGATTGATGAGTCAGTTGGTGAAACTCCGACGAAACACTTCGTCACAGCCCCTCGCATTTCTTGTCCTCTTCTCCCTCCCTCTCTGCTGACGGTTTACCGGGCAGTTCTGTTGTATATATCTATGTTTCACGATATATATATATATCGTCACAAACAGAACTGCCCGGTAAACCGTAGGCAGAGAGAGAGAAGAGGACAACAAACGAGGGGCTGTGGCAAAAAAGATCGTGTATATATATACTCCGACGAAACAGTTTGTCACAGCCCCTCGTTTGTTGTCTTCTTCTCCCTCTCTGCCTACGGTTTACCGGGCAGTTCTATTTGACGATATATATATTTGGGATGTATATAATAGACGTATATACTGTATATAAATACAAAAATGTATAGGCATTTTCCACGTACCCAGGTCACGTTCGCAGAGTAGCGCTCGATAGCGCACCGGTCCACAGTTATGTTAACGACCCCGGTCAAATTGAACGACTTGGGTTGCAGGCTGACTCGGAGAAATTCGGACGTAGCCCCATCCACGGCCCACGTTCCTGAAGATTGTGAAGTATTCACGGTCAAGATCGTCCAAGTCGACGGGATCATAATCTCTCCCGTAGGCGGACCGGGAGTAGGCGACTGCTGAGCCGCCGCCATCAACAACCATGGCACCCCTGAGAACGTCGGGATCCCCATGCCCGGCGTCTCTCTCCTCCCATAACCGTCCTCTGATTCATCCAAAAATAGCAGATCCCGACGCTGGAACGTGTCTCCGGTAAACAACGCCGCGACGAATGCAAACGTCATCGCGGCCGCCACTGACCGACCAACCGCGGCCTGACGCGTCCCCACCATGGACGTGCATGGCGTTGACCGCGTTGACCGCGTTGACCACGTTGACCGAGCTGACCACGTTGACCGAGCTGACAGGATTGACCGTGTCCGGCGGTCCCGACATGGCCAGGAGCTCCACTGGGCTTCAGAAGACGGTGTTGACGTCAACCTCAAAGATTCCTTCCCGATGTCCTTGCCCCGGTTGCCCGATTCGGAGAGAACGACATCACCAACGGGGGTGACGTCACATTCGCTCCGGAAATCGACCGGAACCTCACTCCCCGCCTTCTTCTTCGCCTCCATTATCGCAACCTCTCTCTCTCTCTCTCTCTCTCTCTCTCTCTCTCTCTCTCTCGTGTGACTCCGAGCTGCCAAGAGTGCTATAGCTTCCGTTGTCACAGCAAGCAACAGATCGAAGCTCTCTCTCTCTCTCTCTCTCTTCTCTCTCTTCTCTCTCTTATGTCTCTCTCTCTTCTGTCTCTTCTGTCTCTTCTGTCTCTTGACTCCGAGCTGCCAAGAGATCGAAGACGATAGACGCTTCGTCCCTGTGCTATCGATTTGAAATTCGCCGATTGGTCAATCGTCAGCACTGTGAGAGTCGATGTTTCAGCCAACGACTGCTGTCATGATGGCCTTCATCACCAATTCAACCTTCATCATCAATTGTAACCACTCATCCTGCATATTGCACACTTGGTTCAGCCCGCGATAGAACATGCCCGCAACACCTTGTGCCTGACCCCTATTCATATACATCGCCGCAGCCAGCCACAGGCTGAGAATCCCTGAGATACCACTTAGAGTATACTCACACTAGGCTCTCAAAATCACAGAATAGCAAAATGAGCGGCCAGATCGAGTTCTTCGATTAGGAGGACTGGATCTGGCCACTGATTTTGCGATTCCGCGATTTTGAGTGCCTAGTGTGAGTCTGCCCTTGCTGGGATCTGGAGTCTCGTCAAACTGCATCTTTCCCTTTTTTTTTTTTTTT